TCTCCTCTATACCAACAATTACTCAACTGTAGGAGGTCCAAGGTACACAAGTAAACTAAACTGGAGGCTTTTCCCTGCAGTGCCCCCTAGTGGCACACATACGTTTTTCTCCTGTTTGAGAACTGCATTGAGAAGTACAGTGTTACTTGAATTCTATTCCAGGATTTGCTTGTCTTCAGCTGAGAGAACTTGCAATAATTTAAGACTTTACAAAACGTCTCAGAAATCTTTCATTAAGGTCTTCATGTTATAAAGTTTGAATACCATGTCATAGATATATTTATCATTGGAAAAGAACATATTCCACACACTTTTTTTTCCAATTTTTCTGGAAAAAAATGGCTTTGGAAAAGCAGGAAAAAAACCTGTTTTTTTCCCAATTTTTCTGGCTTTTTTCCAGGCCTTCCCATCTCTAGTAAGGGGACAATAGCAGTCCATTTGGGCATGTTTTGGCCAGTAAGGCATTAGCACAGTTAAAACCTGTTTGTATCCCAAGCATGCTCAGTCTGCTCTAAACACTTACTTGCAAGCTAATATGTTGTTGATTGTATCCTACTGCCAAGGAGATACATCCAGTATATTAACATAGTCAGGAACATAGATAATATATCAAATACTATTTGTGTCTAATTCATGTGTGTGTGTGTTAGTTACTAATTACCAATTATTGTTTAGCTTGATATAAAAGAATAACATTGATTCAAAAGCCTGTGTGTGTGAAATTTATCACTGCATATTCCCTTTGTTAGTATGAAGTCAAATAAGTTTGTTTTGGAATGCATAGCTCCAAATGAAATTTCTATATATCATGCTTGATCAAATTTAAGACTGCATTTATTTGTTTTTGATCCTGAAGATGGAACCTAAACGTTTGAAAAAACAACTTCCCAAAATTTTGAAAACTCTAAAAACTGAAGATCGAATACTAATCATTGGAACCACTAACCGGCCATTTGACGCAGACATAAAACCCTTTTGCAAAGTTTACAAGAGAATAATTTTGATTCCACGGCCAGACTATGCTTCAAGATTTGGCAAGTATATGAAAATATATGATGGTTATTTTGCTTACATAGAACTAGTTTATGCAAAGATACCTCAAAAGTTTTAAGAAGAATACTACACATTAAGTTGGCTACTAGAAAATTCATTACTGAATCTCAGAAACATACATTTTATGTATCTTCATTTTCTGCACCATATGCTTGTTGTAATAGTTTTGAATATACACTGCAAATAGTTTAAATTTAAAACTAGACCAATAAATGATAAACTACAATAAAATGCATGTTCTGTGTTGCTTATTAGAGAAGTGAATGCTTTTAGACTAGCAAACACTTTTCTAGAATCTAAAGGGTGCTACCCAGCATTTGTCTCCATGCTAGAGGTGTGTGTGTGTGTGTTTGAGTAAGGGGCTTCCTCCATTCCAGTGCAGTGTGTCCCTACCCAGCACTACTCAAAAAACCATTCTTGGAGTATACGCTTATGTGCTGGAGTGGTGCAAAAACAAAAAGTAATTCAGACAATAGGAAATGTCTTTCTTTTCCAGCATCCCCTTGTGCACAGAAAAGTTCTATTTATTCTTTTTATTAAGGCACAATAATTTGTGCCCTTAATTTTGATTTTTTTCCATTAAAGCTAGTATATTTATATATTTATATATATTTATATGAACCTTAAAAACAGCAAGTATCCTTAGCTCATTACAGTCTCTGACTTGATTTACCATCAAACTGCTTACCCAAAATGTGATATAATAGCTTGTATGCTATTGTTTTTTGATTCAGAATTCTCATTTGCTATTCAGTTCTTAGGCTAAATTTAGAATTTGGATCATGAAGAATTCAATGAGGGGCCAAGTTAGATGTGATGTTGACAACTGCATTCATTCATTCATGTAACTATTCTGTCATGTATGAAGTGTGTGTGTGTGCATGCACACATATGTGTTCAGTGAGTGTGGGATTGCAGAATTGCTGTAGGACCAGAGATTTACAGCTTCTATTAAAATTGGGAACTATCAAAGAAGAGGGGAAAGACAGTTTATTGTCTAACAGTGCAAAACTCAGGATTGCACTGTAAATAGCAATGTAATAGGCAATCAATGAGAAATCACAATCCACAAAGCATGAAGATTATATAAGACTATTCTTTTAATTGTGAAAGCCTAGGAGAGGGAGTTGATGAATACCACTTTTAGGGAGCAGGTTTTTATGCTAGGGATATGGCAGATGCAATCTGTTTGTAGAGAACAGTCTGGAGAAATGAACCATTGGCACATTTTAACATTCCTAGAAGAAAGTAAATGGTGAGCAAATGTCCAGTCTGTCCTGTTAGACAAAACCATGGTGAGTAGGATAGAATTCTAGGCATTGTGTAGGAAAGGTACAAGAAACAACCAATGTAGCTTGAGACACAATTTCATTCCAGTCCATCTTGCAATGTTAAATTTAGATATGAAGCAACCTCCATTTCTATCCCTCATCCCAGGCCTGCCTCTTATGTCAGTGAAGCAGATCTGGGATTAACTAAGCAGAAATGCTCTATTGCCCCCAAAATAAAGTCTAAAAAATGCAAATTGTAATCAAGAGGGCACAAGAATAGTTATTTTTTCAGCTTAGGGGCTAATTTACATGACTAGCTTGTCCCAGGGCAAGTATGGGCCACTGACCATTTCTTGAAGGCAGGAACACACAATCTTTCAGGAACCAATCCACCAAGAAGGCTATGCATCAAAACATTGTTTTGTGCTGTCTAGTTTGCCTGTTATTTTGGGAAAACCCCTCCATCCAATTAGCTAGGGTACCCTGTGGCAGTAATGCCCCTCCCCTCCACTTGTTCCCCTCACCAGTCTTTTGAGGTTCAAAAGTTCAACTAGGACCTATCCTTCTTTTAACAAGTTCATTGTTGGAACAGTGAAAATGTAGACTAATCTTTTAACCAGATGAAATTGACAGTAGTTCTGCCACTTTTTCATTCTAGCTGAAGTGACAGGAAAACTCTTTTTTTGCTTGCAAAGAAGCAGGGATCCTGGCCAATGCAGTTAAGATTACCCACAACATCTACTCCTTAATGTTGTCTTAATGGATATCGATTTGATCCAGTATGGAAATGTACAGCCTGAGGCTCCAGGGCCACACAGGAGTGCCCCCCCTTGAGTGCAACCCCATAGTTTCTTATTCAGAAGTTGCAGTCAAATTGCAAGTTGTTTTATGTTAGAAAGGGAGCATTGTTGAATATATAGGTAGTAACTATGTTAATTTTAACTTAATGTAACTTAAATATGAACTTAAATATTTTTGCTATGACATTGCCTTCTTCTTGGAAGGCGGCCCTTGGCATGCCATGCAAAGGTAAAGAAACACCCTTTCCTTTGGGTTCAATAAAAATTATGAAATATCTCCCTCATGAAGAAAATGCAGTTTTAGTAAATGCAGTGTCTTAGTCATATTAATTTTCAGTGCAAGTACATTTTAAGTTGCAGAGACTATTAAAAAAAGTGATGCCATATGATCCCAAACAAGAATGGCTATAGTCAGAGTGGACTTATACTATCATATGAACTACTGGGATTATTTTGCAGGGAGTGAAGCTTAATGCATCCTACTTTTTTTTTTTAAGTGGGTTTTAAAAGTGGATTGATTCAATATGAATTGCAGTTTTGACAATGACCATGAAATCATCCCGAGCCTCCTGAAAAATAGGCAGATACCAAACCTTTTAATAGCCTTAAAATGAGACCATTGTAAAATCAAACACTTAACAAGTAATTAATCTATTTCTTTATCACCTAAAGCTGTTGTTGTTATTCAGCAAATTCAGCTTTCTAACTGTTGATTTCCTTGCCTTTTTTTTTTTAACCATTTAACAGTTTTATGGAAACACTTCATTCAACAAAACGGAGGGCTTCTCTCCAAACAGCTAAATATCAGTTGCCTGGCACAAGTGTCTGATGGTTATGCTCAGGGACCCATTCTCCATGCAGTTCAAGCAGTCCTAACAGAAAGACGCCGAATGCAGCTGAGTAAGAAACCACTGACTGCTGTTGAATTCCTAACTTGCCTAGCAAGACAGGATCCAGTGTACAAAGAAGAGGAAGAAACATTTAAGGTTAAGAAATTTGCCTTTTTTCTTCTGTGGTGTAGTAAGTAGCATTCAGAATGCTTGCTCCTTTTGCTCAACACATTCAAAAATGTATTTTCTAATGAATCGGAACCAATTCTATCTGGTTCCACCACTGTAGCTTATTAAACATTGAGGAAGTCCAAAATAAAACTTTGATTAACTAATCAATAATGTTTGTCCTAATGATATTCAGGGCAATTGATCGGCATTCAGGAGTTCCAGTTTTTAGTTTACAAGTTAACAAAGGGATCTTCAACAGTTATCAATCTGTGGGGAGTTTAATACATTCAATTCATTGAGAGAAAACAGTTCAAAGAAGGTTGGAAAGTGGGGAATTCAGTATCAAAGCTTCTTTCCACAGCAAAAGAAGGTTTAGAAATGAAGCATTCAGGCATACACACGCATGCTAAAGGGCACTGGGCATGGAATAAAGAAAAAAAATCACAGTGTTGGGAAGGAAAGGAAGAATTAAAGTTGAGGAGCGAGAGAAATAGAGAGAAAAAGGTAATCCCTGTACCGTGTTCCTGACTTTGATGTGATGCAGTCTGCTTTAATTGTGTGTGTGGTGTTGTTGTTTTTGGACTAAGAAAAGGGGGGGAGAGGGAGGGGGGGAGACTGTTGTACTGTGTTGTTCTTTGACTACTTAGACTGTTGAAGATCATTTTTATAATTTCTTTGGGGAATTTAGCAAGTTAAAATAAACTCCAAATTCTAATTTCAGAATTTGGGAAATCATCAGTAAGGTGTCAGAAAGAAAGAAGCAATCTATAACTAACCTTCCCTTTTGATTGAAACAGAAGGCACAAATAAGTTCCTAATTCTTCTAGAATCAGAAAATATAAGGATAGCAAGATACCTTAAAGACTATCTGGTCTAACCTCCTGCCTAATGCAGGAATGGCAGCATTCCCGACAGATGCCTTGTGTAAAATCTTGGTGATGATATAGTAAGATCTGGAATCTGCTGAGCATCTGTTGGCTGGTTGAGGCTACTGTGAACATGCCCTTTCCACCAGTCACTGCTGGAAAGGCACTCTTGCTTTCTGAAATAGTACTAAATCTGTGTTTAAAAGTGGTAGTGAGTAACAGGTGACAAGTACATTGTGCTGCTTTGCATGGCCTACACCCCTCTCCCCAGTGCCTGTCACCAGTTAGATGAGCTAATTCTTTTCAAGCCAGGTCTCCAAACCAGGGATCATTTCAGAGACCAGGTCAGTACAGAGGGAGAGGCCAGTTTGAAAAATACAGACTCTCCCACTGCGCAAACCAGAATAGCAATGGAGAAGATGCCCAGGGACTGGAGGGGAAGGGGTATGTCCACATCAGCCTAATAGCCCGAGGAGCTGGACCATTTGTTCCTCCAAGAGTCATCAAAATATGACATCAACAAAACAGTCAGTGAAGTATGTCAGGTTATACGTATAGCAAAAATGTGACAGAATAAGAGGGATATATATATAGTGTCTTATATCAGAACACTAAAGACAACTTAAGGCTGTCTTTGGTATGTGTTGGGGATAAGATGAAGATCTTCATCATGAGGATATGATAGAAAACAGAGATACTGCCTGGGTGTGTTTATACTGAGGTTAGATAAAAGTGAGGAAAGACTCTCAGTTTAATTTAATCATGTTTATGATGCTAGCTGAATGGGAAACATCTATTATTTCCCATACTATGCGCCCAAAAGAACAGATGACTTTTGAAACTAAGGAGACTTCTAAAAGCAGATTATGATTTGGCAGTCTGCAGTTCAATTCAAAATACATACCTAAACTGATTTACCATTTATTCTCCACTGCCATTCACAATGCACCCATTCAGCTCTTGGATTAAACTTTCCCAGTTTCAACTGATTAACACTCCTCTTTTTTTTTTTTTTCTATAGACAGGTCTTCTGTTTTTTTGAAAGACCACTGAACAGATCCAGTGGTCTTCCAAAAGATTGGTATATCAACATATACATACATATATGAGTAGTCTGCATAATGCCTGAATGACACTTTGTGAAACATAGATTAGATATGACACAGGCAGGTGCATTGGCAGAAACCAGGTGTCCCATGCATCCCAAGCCAAAATGGCCACAGTAGGTAGTAACCATTGGCTGGATGTAAAGGGACGTACCTGTTGCAACTTCAGCCAACCGGTAGGCGTTTGCAGATACCAAACCTTGCTTATATCACTAAAATTGTGAAGACTGTACATCAAGACGTGTGCCAGGAGAAGACAGACAACACCACTTTGCTAAGGACAAATTTTGGCTGCCTCTGCAGTAGGGTGGAGATGAGACAAAGGCTGCATGACAAGGAGATATTTCTTAAAAATGGTCATGGGGCTGGTTTCTTAGAAGTACTGAGCATTCTCAGTCATTCTATTTATTGTACCTAGGTATCCTTTTTACTTTTCAGTAAGATTGCATCCCGAATTAAATCCTTGGCTGACATTCCCTCTTTGTTTTTGTGAAAGAAAAAAAATTCAAAATCTCATTGAAATCAGATGGCAGAGCTCATTATTTGTGTCTTTTGCTGCCTTGTCACATTTCAAAGAGAAATACCAAACCTTGGAAACAGGGTTGATCACAGAGGTAGCAGCGGTATCAGATGTAACAGCTTCAGTGTTGCAGCTAGGTACTAATGGTAATGAGCCACTTCAAGCAAATGATTGCTCCTGTCCTTTAATAGCATTCTCAGGGGAACTCACAGAATGATGCTACTTCTCCATAAGTTATCTAGAATTCTTCTAAGAAATGAGCTGCTGTAAAAGCAATGTTATGCATGTATTTTCGGGCTTCGTAAAAATATATTTCCATCTTGATTCTCTAGGTTTGGTATGCAAAGACTCCTCTAGGAAAAGCACGAATCAAGTCACTGACAGAGAATGAAGATACTGGAAAAGGAAAAGGGAAAGAGAAGGGAAAGGATAAAGAGAAAAAGAAGGAAGGCAAAAAGACAAAAAAGTAAAAATTATTTCATGGAAAACTCTTAATGGTCAGCATAGATATAATATTATAATTTATTGCTATAAAGAAGAACCTTTTCTTGGAATCCAAGTTCTCTACTTGATTCCAGTGAACAGATCCATCAGTGAACAGGACAAAGCATCAGCGTGACATTTAGTTCCTTCAAGACAAACATATGTGACGACTGAATTTCTCTTTTATTACTTAGGCTATTCTAAAGTTACTTAGATTCAGATAGAGTGTATCAGTTTTAAAAATATATTAATTGACTGTCTACAAATATTAAGTCGCATATTTTAGAGTATTTATGCCCATGAGCTTTGCCCAGGGAGAGTGCAACATATCTATTGAGATGAATCCATATACAGCTCAGAAGAGCTCCCCTCTCTCCCTTCCCCAGTTGGAGAACACTAAACTATGCTGCTCTCCTGGCTGGTTTGCATGTATCCTTTGCTCACGTAGTTCAGGAGGAGTTCAGCCCTCCAGGGAGCTGCAACCTTGTACATAGAAGAAGATGGTATGTTTATGATTCACAGAACTTGTTCTGATAAATTGCTATTTTTCAATAAATTTTTTAGAATTCAAAAGATGTATTTTATTTTGCCTGAGTTATTTCAAAATATTGTTAGCTGTTGAACACCGTTGGCCCTTGGATGAATTGTTCTGGGTGTGAACAATGAGTTGTTCAGGTATGTGTCACTCAAGAGAAATTGAGAAATGGTTATTTCAAGAGAAATAGTAGGTAATTGTAATGACTGCACAGAATACACACCACTCCCTTTTCATGTGCTGTGAGCTTTATTGCTTACAATGTCTCCCACATCATTTAAAAGCAGACACAGAATGACAACCATGTCAGAAAGCTGAGAGCACTAATGTTATATAATGTTATAGTCACAAGAAGTTTTATGATTCCAAAATTATATTTGTTACAATGTAACAATGAAAAAGAGAAAGAACTAGAAACATAGACCAGCAGTTCCTACTACGTCATACTGGATATTTTATGGAATCATTATATACATTTACAATAATATCAACAATTTCATAGAGTTGTCAGGAAAGGGCTCCCCCTGTAGTAGAATCTTGGAAATAATTGGTGAACACTTTTCAGGAATAACATTTGAGAACCTCCTATCTCTGCTTAATTTTTCTCAGTAAATCTCAAGAATTCATCCTTCCATATAACAGTTTGACCATAACTCAGGAAATATTTCCACTTTGTACTAGGCAACATCTCTTACCAATTCTGTGTCCTTCCATTTGGCCTCTTTGTTTACTTCATTTACCAAGATGTTTACTAAGTGCATGGCAGTGGTTGATGTGCAAATTTTGTCTTTTGAGCATTCAGATTTACTCCTACATCTATCTCAAGTTACTTGTGGCCTCATCATAGAGTGTAAGGGATGGAACGGACCTTGGGGATCCCTAATCCAAACCTTGCTTGGTACAGTCCTGACAGATGGCCATCTAGCCTGTATTTAAATACTTCCAGTGAAGGAAAATCCATCACCTCCTGAAGCAGTCTCTTTCATTGTTAAAACAGCTCTTACTGTTCAAAAATTCTTTCTGATGTTCAATTGCCATCTGCTTCTTTGTACTTTAAACTCATTGTTCCCGCAGTCATCTTTTTATCAGGCTAAACATACCTGAAGAAAATATTTTTTTTTTCTTTTCTGCAGTTATCTCACACAGTTGGAGAGCCAGTTTGGTGTAGTGGTTAAGGCACCAGGCTAGAAACTGGGAGTCTGTGAGTCCTGCTTTAGACACAAAGCCAGCTGGGTGACCTTGGGCCCATCACTCTCTCTCAGCCCTAGGAAATGGCAAACCACTTCTTGTCCAGGCAGTCACCAGGAGTCAACACTGACTTAAAGGGACAGACACACTCACACACATATACACACACACAGTTGACTCACTTTCAGTTTGTGGCTCACCAAAACACCCAGATCATTTTTGTATGTATTGCTGCCCTTTATGATACCCCCATCATATATAGTATTCACAGCCTTGATTTTCTTTCTCCCTAAATGTAGGACTTAGTATTTTTCTGTGTTGATAATCATGTTGTTTTCTGCTCATTGTTCCAGCTTTTCAGGATCCTCCTGAATCTTGATTTTATTTTATATTTTTTTTAGCCTTTTCTGCTGTCCTCCCCCCAACCCTGAGTTAAGGTTGGCCCCAACCCTGTTGACCTTCCAGTAGGCCCTTAAAACATGGTTCTGTCAACTAGATCCCATGATAATAGTAGAGCCTGCTAGATGGCTATATGATAGGTAATTGAATGTGCTCTTTTGTATGCTTTTCTGCCATTTTGCTTTTTTACCTTGTTTTTATCTTTTAATTTAAATTGGTTGTTTTTTAATGTTTTTTGTGATTGTTTTATTATGTAAACTGCCCAGAGTCTCTACAGCTATACAAATGTGATAAAAGCATGCATGCATACATACAAACATACTGTTTTCTAAGGCATATCTTTGTGTCATTTGCAAGTCTGATAATTGTATTTTCTAAACTTTCATTCAAATAATTTATAAATAGGTTGAACAACACAGGGCCTAAAACGGAACCCTGAAATATATCACTAAACACTTACTGCTCTGTCAGGTTCAATATAATCTCTACCTTGGCTTGATGTTCAACAGGTCAGATCTTCTCTGACATATTCCTATCTCCCAACTGGATTTGGTGGCAATGTGTGTTTTCTTTCCTTATCTTAGGATCCTTATCATTTCAGCCATGGCCAAAGATGTTAATGTTTCTTTGTGGTCCAAGCTCTGAATATATAATGCCAGCTCAATCTTATAGAAGTGAACCAGCACCTCTTTACTCAAGATTTCGTATGTGTTCCTTCCGAAGTTAAATCCCTTACTGTTTTCTGCCACAGCCTGAACTTCCAAAAGTCACAGTTACATCTCTAGTGCTGCTACTATCACCATATGCTAAAAAGCTGGATGACAATATTGGATATTTAAAAAATCTTTTTATTTGTCAAACAAAATTATGTACCAAAGTTTGTGCAAAATCAGAGATGCAGATATGCAAGCACCTAAAAGAACTTTGGCACAGAGCATGGCCTACAGTGATGTGAGAGCATGAAGCCCTGAATTATGACTAATCAGAAATCTACCTGGAGTAAGGAGGTGGGTTTTGCTGAAAAAGAATGGAATGAACAATTTAGGAAAACACAACACAATCAATTATCATACCCTATGTAGAAAACGTTATCTTGAGTTAGGATCTTGAAGAATGTGAAAGGTATTCTTAAGAGGTAAAAGTACGCAAGGCCCCAGTCTGGTCTCTTCCGTCGTCAACGTGCGTATCCTTTAGAAGCCCCTTAATTCTCTCCAAATGTGGGGAACATTTATACAACTTCCTGAATTTTCATAACTTTCATTAAGACTGTAAGTGGAACAATAAGGAAAATACCACTCAGGGTGAAAGGGCTGTGGTATCAGGATAGTTGCTACATCAGATAATCCCAAACTCAGGGAATGCACTGCATGATGATAATTAGGTGGGCTGGCGATACGTAGGTTGGCATCAGAAAAGAAGGTGTCCAGGAGTTCTCTCTTTCTGAACATGTGAAGAATGTCTCTGGCGAGGCCCAACTCTTCTGTCCAACTCATTAATAGTCATAACAGGAGATGGGCTTTGAGATTCTAAATGCCCATTTTTTATCATGAACATAAAAAGCTACTAATAAATGCCACCTTAAGTCTTTATGTTGTCTACTTTCAAAAGGAGAATTGCTGTACCTTTTCCTATAGTTGGTGAATTGCTTGTACAATATAACTCTGGAACCTAAACAATTGGATTTGTGTGTTAAGCTATATGGTGTAGATTCACGACATCGGTAAAGATACTCATGTCATCCTGGAGATATAATTTCTTACATATATGAAATGTATTTAAACTTCAAGGCTAATCATTAGCTTTCTTTATAGTCTTTCCCATTTGTGAGACAATTCTTTGTTGGTCATATTCATTGGACATTCATTCCTTGTTAGTCATATTAGTATACCTGTTTCTCTTAGATTATTCTGTGTAAATGTTATATAATGACGCTGAAAGTTGCTGGCCTGAAATGGTCAACGCTTCAGCGGTTCGAGTCCAGCCTTCTCGTTAGCAGGGTGAGCTCCT